TCCATAAGAAATTTTCAAACAGTGACAAAGGAAACAAAATAAAAATAGTAGAGCTACCCTACATCAAACTCATCATCAAACTATAACTCCTGATTTTTTTTCTTCAGAACAGAACTATTTAAGCAACATGGTGTTTCACCACAGGATAACGTGACATAAGAGTAGTGACCATACTGTCTCTTTCCTTGAACTATAGAATATGCCTTCACATACTATCAAACATAACAAGACAGTGAAAAGCCATTCAAGAGGATAAAATATTACAGGGTATTTAGAACCAACTAACAGCAAATGAACAACAGTTTCTATACTATCTCTATGACTATAAAAAGTTTTATATTATCACATAAAATAAAATCCAACAAGATACAACATGATAAAACTGATGGAGAGAGAAGAACTAAAGTTTGATGGGATGTCAAAACAAGCTGATATTAAATCAGCGCTATCTATTATGATGTCTTATTTTCTTCAAAATAGCTGTTCATACCAGCACAGACAGGATATCAAACAACCCAGAAGAAAACCAATACAATTAGTGAATGAAAACATTATAAAGCTTCAAGACAACATAAAGGGGGATCCTGATTACCACATACTTTTATGTATTCTTATCATTTCTTAGACTGGGGAAACTACTCGGTACTTATACATGTGAGTTTTATTTATTTCACTAATGAGTATGGTCTCAAGCTGTGTCCATTCATCTGTAAATATCTCAATGTGATCAATCTTTATAGCTCCATCATATAAAAATACCACAATTTTTTTATCCACTCGTCAGTTGGTGGACACTTAGGTTGTTTCCAAGATCTGGCCATTAAAAATTGTGCTGCTATAAACATGGGTGCACATATATCAGTGTGGTATGATCTTTTCAGTTCTGAGCATATGCCTAGAAGTGGAATAGCTGGAACAAATGAGACTTCCAATCCCATCTTTTTGAGAAATCCCCACACTGACCTCCACAATAGTTGCACAAGTCTACACTCCCACCAATAGTGCAAGAGAGTTCCTTTTCCCCACAGTCTCTCCAGCATTTGTTGTTGGTAGTTTTCTTGATCCTGGCCATTCTTTCAGGAGTGAGACGGAATCTCAGTGTGATTTTAATTTGTATTTCTCTAATGAGTAATGAGGATGAACATTTTTTCATGTAATTATTTGTGATTTGTATTTCTTCATCAGAGAATTGTATATTCATCTTAGATGTCCATTTTTGGATTGGATCTTTGAATTTTGGCGGTCTGAATTTTTTAATTCTTTATATGTTTTATACAGAGTCCTTTGTCAGAGGGACAGTTCAGTAAGATTTTTTCCCATTTTGTGGGCTTACTTTTCACGATGCTGGGGATTTCGTTTCACATGCAGAAACTTTTAAATAAGATGTGGTCCCAGTTATTGATTCAGGGAAGTATGTCCCGTGCAGTTTGATTCCTGTTCATGAATTCTCTACCTACCCCTATTTTCCAAGATTTTTACCCAACTTGTCTTCCAATAAATTTGGTGCTTCTGTTTTAATATTCAGATCTTTGATCCATTTAGATTTTATTTTAGTACACGGTGATATGCATGGGTCTAGTTTATTTTTCGGCATATGGAGAGCCAGTTTTTCCAACACTATTTATTAAAGAGACAGTCGTTCTCCCACTGAACATGTTTGGCCTAACCCTAACCCATTTATCAAAGATAAGGTGGTTGAGTGTGTTTGTAGGTGTTGTATTTCTGTTTTGGTTCCATTATGATGCTGATTTTACCACAATTGCTTTGCAGTATAACTTCAGGTGAGGCATTGTGATGCCTCCTCCCTTGCCTTTGCTGCTTAGAACTGTCATTGCTATTCTAGGGCTCTTCTGGGTCCAGATAAATTTCAGAAGTTATTTCTCTAAATCTATGAGGTATGTCGATGGTATTTTTATTGGGATTACATTTGAATCTGTATAACAGATTTGGAGAAGGACATTTTCACAATATTTTTCCTTCCTATCCGTAAGGAAGGGATGTCTCTCCATTTTCAGAGGGACTCTTTCATTTCTGATCTTTCAGTTCTTTCATGAGAATAAATCCTAAATATTTCAGTTATTTAGTTGCTAGTGTGGTTTATCTTCTCTTATTTCTGTCTTTTTGATTTTGTTGTTAGTGTATAGAAATACTATTGAATTCCGTGTATTGACCTTGCATCCAGTTAATTGCTGGATTCATTATGTCTAGGAGTCTTTCAGTGGAAGTTTAGGGGTCTTCTATGTAGAGTATCATGTCATCTGCAAAGACTGATAATTTAACTTCCTCTTTTCCTGTCGTTACCCCTTTTATTTCTCTTTCTTATCTAATTGTTATGGTTAGTATTTCCAGTACTATATTAAATAAGAGTGGTGAAAAGAGACATCCTTGTCTTGTGCCTGATTTTAATGTAAAGGTCTTCAGTTTTTGGCCATTTAGTATGATACTGGCTGTTGGTTTGTTGTGGATTGCCTTTATTATATTGAAGTAAATACTATCTATTCCAATTTCCTGTAAGGTTATTATCGTAAATGAATGTTGGACATTATCAAAATCTTTTTCTGCATCTATAGAGATGATCATGTGATTCTTTTGGCTTTATTGATATGGTGGATTACATTTATTGATTTACATATGTTGAACCATCCTGCATGCCTGGGATGAATCCCACTTAGTCATGGTGTATAATCTTCTTGAGGATTTGTTGTATTATATTTGCCAATATTTTATTGAGGATTTTTGCCTCTGTGTTCATTAGGGAGATTGGCCTGTAGTTCGATCTTTAGGTGGTTCTTTCTCAGGTTTGGGTACTAGAGTAATATTTGCTTCCAGGAATGGCTTAGGAAGGATTGCTTCCTTTTCCATTTCATTGAATAGTTTTAGGAGTGTCAGCATCATGTCTTCTTTGTACTTCTTGTAGAATTCCGCAGTGAATCTGTCTGGGCCTCGGCTCTTCTTTGCAGGTAAGTGTTTAAATACATTTTCAGCTTCATTAATAGATATTGGTTATTCAGCAGTTTTACATCTTTTTGACCTAGCTTTAGTATTTCATATATTTCTAGGAACCTGTGTACATCTTCTGTGTTATCAAACCTATGAGAGTAGAGATTTTTTAAATAGATGTTATCTTCTGTATTTCTACAGAGTCTGTAGTGATTTCATCTTTTTCATTCCATATTGCATGAAATTGAGCTTTTTCTTCCCTTTTTTTAATAAGGTTGACTGGGGGTTATCAGTTTTATTTATTCTTTCAAAGAACCAACTCTTTGATTCATTGATTCTTTGTATTGTTTTCTTAGTCTTTGTTGCATTAATTTGTGCTCTGATTTTTATAATTTCCTCCCTCCTTTTGGTTAGGGATTTAATGGATCTTCTTTTTCTAGATTTTTGAGGAGTAGAATCAGGTTATTTTTGTATTCTTTCTGTTTTCCTGGTGTGAGAACTCAGTGCAATAAATTTTCCTCTGAGGACATCTTTCATTTCCTCCCTCAAGTTCCAGTAACTTGTATTTTTTTTGTTTACTTGTAGGCACTATTTAATTTCTTCTTTAATTTCTACTGTGATCTACTAGATATTCAAGAGTGTGTTATTCAGTTTCAATATGTTTGTGGGGTTTTTGAAGTATCTTTTGTCATTAATTTCTAATTATATGGCCATTGATCCAATAACATGCGTGGGATCATTTCAACTGTTTTGCATGTATTTAAGTATGTTCTGTGGTCTAATATATGGTCTATTTTAGAGAATGTCCCATGTACTCCTGAGAAGAATGTGTATTCTGATGTTATTGGATGGAACACTGTATATGTCTATCAAGTCCATTTGTTCATAGGTGTGATTCAGTTCTGCTATCTCTTTGCTGACTTCAGACTGGTTGATCTGTCCCATGGTGTCAATGGTGTATTAAGATCTCCTGTTATAATTGTTCTACAGCTAATTTGGCTTTTCATTTCTGTTAACATTTGTTTTATATAACTGGGTGCTCTGAAATTTGATGCATATATATTTTAGGTTGTGATCTCTTCCTCTTGAATTTTCCCCCAACCAGTATCTCTTGTGATCATTTGTTTGAAGTTCACATTGTCTGCAAACAGAATATCTACTCCAGCATTTTTGGGGGGCGGGGCTTCCTGTTGCATGAAGTATTGTTTTCCACCCTTTGAGTTCCAGTCTGTGAGTATCCCTTTGGGTTAGATGGGTTTCTTTTAGACAGCATATGTTGGATGTTGCATTAACAAAGCTCCAGTGGAGTCACATGTAGCTCTAAGAAGAATGAAAGAAGCACATTCATTTATCGAGTCAATGACAAAGGAAATATTGTCTGCATCAGCCTCCTGAGTCATAGCGAGTGTTTGCCACTGAAATTCTTCCATGATTTTCTTCGCTTTTTTGTTTGTCCTTTGTGGGTTTTTATGCTTTTGAGACAGGGTCTAACTCTTCAGTTTATTCTGGCTTTCAGATCACAGGGATCTTTCTGGCTCATTCCCCCAAGCTTTGGGATTACATTTGGGCAGCACCATGCCCAGTCTCCCCCACACTGCACTACGAAAAGAAATCAGGGACTCCTGCTTCATGGCTACTGTGCTGCTAAGCTGAAGTTACAGATGCAAAACTTTTTTTCACTTTTATGAGGCAGTACCTCACGGATTAGTACAGGCTAGTCGTGAACTGTTAGGGATGCTCCTGCCTCAAGTCTCCAAAGTGCTAGGATTACAAGCCTGAATCACACAGCTGATTTGTTCTTTTTATACATTTAAACACATTGAACCAAGTGAAGTTTACTGTATATATTTCTATATACTTTTACTTGTTTTGAAAATCTAGTTGTTGATCTGAACTACAACTGAAACAATACTAAGCTCAGAATAATCAAACAATTGCTCAATACAGAAAACCTTGTGATCAGGAGATACAGATTTATTTGTGATTATTTACCAGGCAATTTTTTAATAAGATAAAGAAGGTTAGCTATTAACTATAAATACCTCTTGTCACTTGCCACAGTTGGAACACTAAACAAGGCACAAAGAACTCACCACCATGTCAGATAACACTCCGTGGTTTGAAGGGATAAAATTCCCTATGGTACACTTCAGTCCTGAAATATTAAGGGAAGTACGGGACAAGTTTGTGGTGAAGGATGAAGATACAATAACAGTGACTTATCCCAAATCAGGTAAGGAGATGGGATCATGAGCCTATCCTATGAAAATCTATGATTTGGGTTTCAGTAATTCTACAGATGAATAGAAAGCTCACAATATTCTAGAAACCACACAGTGCTTTGAGAAGCAAGGAATAGTGCCTTAATGCATTTGCATTAAGAGAAAAGGTTGCATCTCAAATATTACACAGGGAGGTGAGAGTAAAGAAGGACCAGAAATGTAACAGGGAAATACTAATGCAGATTCTCAAATTTCAATAATTTTATGGGGGTCAATGTGGTAAAGGATGACATTGGAATTTTCATAACACTCAAAGAGTAAAGACAGTGGGAGTTTAGTAAATGGGCTTGAGTAAATAGTTAAAGAACTATTAAAGTTCTAGTTAAAGACATTTAAATACTTATTTTCTGAAAACTGGTAGATATTCAAATATCCATTGTCAGATGAATGCATAAATCGAATGCTAAATGTATACCACAGAATATCATGCACTCAGAAATGAAATTCGGAAACATGACCCAACATAGATGAATAGAGCTCATTAAGCTAAATGAAATAAGCCCATCATGAAAGGAAAACTGTTACATTTTCACTTATGTGAAATACTTGCACTACTCAAATTCATGGACATAATGGGCAATATTGGTTGCCATAGAGTGCATGGAGTCACTAGGGACTAGTATTTTATGAGTAGAAATATTTATTTTTCTTAGACAGATTATTTGGGACATTGAGCACTAAATGGAGTATGATAACCATTACTTGAAAGAACTGTAAATTATGCTTAAAAATTGCTGCAAGTTTACATCTATATTGTGCATATTTTAGGCCAATTTATAAAACTCATGTAGATATTACTGACAATCATTATTCCTTCTTTTTTCAGGAACCAACTGGTTAATTGAGATTGTCTCCCTGATTCTTTCCAAGGGGGATCCCAAGTGGGTTCAATCAGTGCCCAACTGGGATCGTTCACCTTGGATAGAGTCTACAGGAGGTTATGAATTAGTGAAGGGTCAGAAGGACCCACGAGTCTACACATCCCACCTGCCCCTCCATCTTTTTCCCAAGTCCTTCTTCAGTTCCAAAGCCAAGGTCAGTGCACATTGATTTAGAAATTCTTGTTCAGTCAATCAAGGTCTTGGCCTGGCCCCAGGTGAATGGCTTAAATGAAACAGAAAAATGATTTGATCTTTCAATTCCAGGAGGCAAAAACCATATAACTGAATCCTGTATTTTCTCGTGGTTGAGATGCAGAACTTCTCTGGGTGTCCTAAATTTGTTTATATTTCAATTTAAAGGAAGGGGATTCTGAGGCAAACTCAGAAAGTGAGTTGGATCTTGGAAGTCACTTCAAAAACTTTTACCAGTAGTAAACTGTGCCAATTCATTGGACTTTTTGATCTATGAGCTTGGTGGCTCTATTGTTCTTAATAGGGGAATAAGCAGCCCGTGATCTTGGATAACTCAGTTGTGATCCACCTGACCTCAGAACACTGTGCCTATACCCATTTCCAGCCTGATCAGAGATTCCTGTGTTCAGCAGCTTAACAATGCACAGTCCGTTTGCCAAAAGAATCCTTTTAAACTGCTATGTGCCTAAATATCCATGATGTTTTAGCTGAAATGAATTCTCACAATGTGGATCTTGATGGGATGTAATAATGTCCTGAATTAGCTGGTCGTGCAGTGTCTACCATTTAGTCCATATGTGAATAAAAGTATACGGACCATTCGGCATATATATATATCCACTGTCTTAGAAGCCCATATTTTCAGGAGAGACAGGGTTTATGACTATGAGATGTATTTCACCCATTCTTTTGCTACATTGTAACGTAATTGGCCAATATTAATCACTAGATCTAAAGTAGGACTTAACTAGAAAAATAAGTTTTCTGAAACTTGTCCCTCCCTACAGTAGTTGTTATTTCTTTAAAGAAAAATAAAGCAATAACTTTTGTCCCTCAAAGCACAGTTTCATAACATCCTGTTCCCAAAATTTTCTGTTTTGCCCAAGCAAGGCCACCTAGATATGTTGCAAAACTCAAAGCTTATCAGCCTGCCTGTGTTTTATTTCTGTCCACTTGCCCTCTTAAATTTCATGTGATTAGAGACACCAATCCCAACAACCACGACCAAATGTGTTCAACCAGAGCTGACTCCTGTGCTCAGCCTTCAGCCATTTTGCATCCTCCTGAGCCAGATGTCTACCTAGTTAGTCCTGTTTTTCCCATGGTCTCTCCTGACTCTTGAAATCTGCAACCCCTCCATCTTTGTATGTGGAAACTTCCACATCAGAGTTGTCCTTCTGTGAAGCAGTAGTTTCACACACTCGCCTATGGCCAAGTGACTGAGCTGCCATCAACGTTGGGTTTTCTAACTGCTGTGTATTACTGCACATAGCTGTCTGCTGAGACAAGCCATCTCAAAGTAGCCAAGTGGCTAGCAGATTGTCACTTGAAGGGAGCGGGCAGATCCAGATTCTAGCATCCCATGTCTCTTTTTTAGAAATACTTTCTCTTCCAGGCTTTATTTCTGTGGTTTCAAAATTTTTAGTTAAATCACAATGACTAACCTAGAAACTAATGCCATCTTTAGCAAATATCACGTTTGTGTTGCATAGTGATGTTATTACACCCAATTGAAATGAGATCTTAAGGAATTGGTTAATCTGAGGCTGAGACATTTAAGACTAAAGAGAGATGGTGTCAAAATCATGGGATAAAGACCCAAAGAAAACAAGATTATGAAATGCCAAGTTATCTTTTTTCTTTTTTTGGTGTGTGTGGGGTTATTTTTGTGTGAACACATTCTAATCTTAATTACCAGTCTCATGAATATTTGTGAAACTATGCAATGGACAAAATACCACCCAGATTAATATTGAGAATATTTTTGGAACACAGCAGTTTCTTGCAAAACATGTCCAAGTCAATGAGTGGCCAGAGAGGTAATTACTCTCCTGGCTTAAAACTAAGAATCATTTTGTTTGCTCTTGAAATTTACCTAATTAAGTTTATCCTCTTAGAATTGAGAAATGTGGCTTCTTTAATCAAAATAAAGTCTTTGAAACTGATTTCTGGCTTTTTTATGTGAAAAACTGTACATTTATATGTGCCTATGAACATAGTAGAATTTTCATTGATTTTCCTTTTTGGCAAAATTTTTACAAATCTAAGATTTCTCACAAAATTTACTAGTTACAACCTCTCAGTATGTTCCCCAAATGAATAGACAGACAACTCAGAAAGAACATGTATGCAATCCTCCTCATTTATTACACTTATATCAGAGAGCCAGCTAATAAAATTTTAAAAATCTGTATTTGATTACTGAGTGCTGTCACAAATTAATTGATATAATCCATGATATTTAATAGGCATTTTGTACAAATTTCCTAGGTAAAGATCAAACCATGTAGGAATGAACTCTACTAATTGTTTACTTTCTCAATTTTTAAATTTAAAGTGATTTATTGTATTAGGAATCCCAGAGATGCTCTTGTGTCTGGTTATTTTTTCCTGAGTAAAATCAATGTTACTGAGAAGCCAGAGACGCTGCAACAATATATGGAATGGTTCCTGCAAGGAAATGGTGAGTTGCCATGCAATGTAGGAATTTAAGAACTCAAGGTCTTTCACCCACTTCACTGAATCCATCCAGGCACTTTAGTTCAGCAGCCTGCAAGTCCAAGGGTCCATCCTCACCACGGCACAGCTGTATTTTATGACCTCACTCTCATGCACAGTACTCACACTCCACACAGCACTCCAAAACAAAAACAATAGAAAAGAAGAAAAGAAACGAAATGAAAAGAAAAGTTATATAAAGACACAGCCAGGAGTAGTGGAACATGTTCGTTATTTCTGCACTCAGGAGGTTGAAGCAGGAGGATTGCTTCCAGTTCAAGTCCAGCTAGGACTATATAGGAATTTCACGATCAGCCTGAATTGTACAGAGAACTACATGGGGAGTTCAAGATCAGCCTGAACTATGTAGATAGACACTATCTCAAAAACAGAGAGAATAATTATTAAAACATCATATGCGTGCTGGGGATTTAGCTCAGCAGCATAAGCACCTGCCTGGCAATTGGGAGGCCATGAGTTCCATCCCAGGAACTAAAAAAAAAAACATTATATGCATAGGTCTACATCTACACTAGATTGTATCTGCTGTGATTAATAAGGCTATATATTCCTAGGATTGAGACAGAGGTGTACATCCATCAGTACTCTTACATGAGACCAAGAAAGTCACCAAAAGGGGAGGTCGGGACCTTGATTCATATGTTCAATTGAGGCAGTTATAGGTGTCTTGACTTCTAGGAAAAAAGGACAATTTTCAAAACATGTAGCTAAAAATCAAAAAATAATTTATTAGGCAGTACACTACATACTCAGGAAGAATAGAGTGTGGGTGCTCAAGAGAGAGCTCGATATGCTCTGGGGCTGCAATTCATATGTGGTCTGGGAGAATCCAATATATTGATGATCTCAGATGTGTACAGCTACTGTCATCAGGATATTTTGGCGTAGAGTAGGATGTAAGCCATTTTCCTGTATTTGAATTTTAGAGATTTATAACTCTCTTAAATGTGCCACTTCATTGAGGTTGAAGGTGTCTTTGTTGAAAAGCCATGTACCAATGAAAAGCGTGGCCTCTGATTTTGAGTATTAATGTTTCTTTATATTCTTAAGGAGTTTGCAGAATGGAACAGGTATTGGAACCTTCAGCCATTTCTGTGTCCTTACACTGTGGTTTTCTTTAAATACTATATTAAAGTCATGATTATTCTCTTTTCTATATACCCATTTTTAATACTAATTTATTTTCTCCCTGCATCTATGATACTTTATTTGTTAAGCTAGGTTATGGATGAGAGTCCCTCTTCTTCTGGGCACTTTGGGCTTTAGTTTTCATAGGGTCTTTTCAGCCAGGAATTGAAAATCTTCTCCTGACTCATGCAAAGTCAGTTTATTGTTAAAGAGGCATAATTCTTTGATACTTGCTTCATATTGGGGGAACTGGGCCATCAGCAAGTCATTCAAGCTTAGAGAGAGATGGACATGAACATTATTTCTAAATATAAGTCATGTAGTGTACAATTTATAAGTTACAGTTATCAGGAAGATATATATATATAAATGTTGTTTGGAAAATAGGACACTAGAGGATCAGGTTGAGCTGGAGAAATCTGGAAATACAAGTTTATAAAAATATTTAAAAATCAGGGGTAAAAACTTAAAATAGAATTATGGTGAACTGATGCCCCCATAATACAGAAATTAGATGTTATTGGGCATATTGGAATAATCCTTTCATAATTAACATTAATCTTTAGTTATCTTCTGGTGTTTAGTCAACAAACAGGTACATTTTAAGAGCATATAAAAATTTTCTTAGTTATATCATAATAAATATAACATGTTTAAATTTGAAATGAAGTTGTTTCCAGGAAATACTACATGTATTCCACTTCTTGGTGGCCACTGGGTCATCAGAACTCTAAAATAGGCCTCAGAACTTACACTGTAACTTGTACCTTTTAGGGATGAACACCTTTGTTGTAACTGAATTTAAATAATATAAATATATAAAACAGGAAGCAGACAACACAGAGTTAGTTTTCATTGCAAAACTTATAATGTTCATAAGCAAGACTATTTTTATTCTATGCTGAGTCTATGTAAGTTACCAAATCTTTGCATACTTCAATGTACATCAAAATATCATAAACTACTCCACCAACAAAGGGTTTAAAACACATTTTTTGAAGAGCTACTAGAACTGGTAACCTGGACTTCTTGTGGATGTAGGTTAAGATTTTGAAGTTGTGACTAGAGACTGCCAGTAATGGCTGGTGTCATATTTGGAGCCCCTTTTGTGATGTAGTTTTAGTCTTTGTTTGTTGTTATTTTTATTATTGTTTTGGAGGATGTTTTTAAGACAGGGTCTTGGTATGCATTTCAGGGTTGAGTTGGGCTCACTTTGTAGCCTAGGCTGGTCAGGAACTTGCAGTGATTGTCCTGCTTCACCTCCAGAGCACTGGGAATGCCAGGAGTGTGTCACAACCTCTAGCTTAGCACTCTGTTTTTATACATCCATGAGGTACTATATTTTGGATTCTACATTTTATTGGGTATTTAAGATTCTGTTAAAATAATATCCATGTTAGTACAAATAAATCTATGTTTGTAAAGCAAACATAGTTCTCAGGGAGTTCACAGGGGGTTATTTCCGAGGGCTTTGAGGGCCTGCTTTCTTCTTCTGTTCTTGCCTTTACCTATTGTTATCTGCGCAAGCAATCATCAGTGTTTAGTTTCACTATACACTTTTCATGGAAACCATTGGGGCATTGTCTGCTTTAGTGACCCACCTTTTGGCTGAGTATATGCCATCTATCTCCTTGAGTCTAACAATTTTCCTGCTTGCACCATCAGATGATTCACCACAGATGAAGTATCTCTTAAAGGAATGCCATCATTTGCTGTGTACTGGCTGAATTTGGAGACAAAGGCTGACATCCTGACTGTCCTCTTAGCTCTTCACTGTTTCTTAGGTTTCCCATGCCTTGATTACTGAACATCCAAAAGATTGATGACACCAGTCTTAATGAGGCAATGCTAATCCATTATTATCATCATTATCATTTTTCTGCACATTAAAGCACTTTAAAATGTAAAATGAGATTGAAGACAAGTCTATATTTTATCTTTTCAATTATATTAATATTTTTTTGAGACAGGGTCTTTCTAGGTAGATAAGATTGGCTTTAAACTGACCATTGTAGCTCAGCCTGATAACAAAGAGGTAGCAATCTTCCTATTTAATGTTGAGAGTTTTCAGATTATAGCCTTGGACCACCACAGGTAGTTATTTTATGAGAGCGTTAACATTTGTGTTGGTATTACATCTTTTTCACCTTATGTATGAAGGCTATAATTTTAAAACATTGAGTGAGTAATTTTTTTAAAAGTCATGTTTCTGTAGAATGCTAGGATGTGATCATTACTAACTTTTTTTGTCTTTTTGAAGCAGGATTTTGTTATGAATTACATGGTGGCTTTGAACTCACTTTGTAGCCAGTGTTGGTCTTGAACTAACCATGATTCTTCTGTTCAGTCTCCTGAGCGATGCAAGATTGCAAAGTTTTATGAGAAAAACATAAAGTAAAATCAATAAAAATATTAATAAATCTAATTATACTTTTTCTGCATGAGGAATCAAAATTAGTTAACCTAGTTGGTCACAAGAAAATATTGGGAATTTTACTTAAAGTTTTTAATTAATGCAGTTGTGAATGTTTAATTTTTCAGTGTATATTTAGAGTACATAATGATTACACTCATCATGAGGAGTTACTACCTGACACAATGCTCTCAATTCCTTTGAATTCTTTCTCTTCTCTCCCTCCCCTATCATTCCGTCTCTTGGTCCTCTTTGCTATTTCAAAGATCTGTCTCTTATTTTCTTCCTTAGGTTAGCCATGCTTTGGATTTCTCATATGAGTTAAAACATGCAATATTTAAACTTATTTGTCTCATAAGTACTCAGAGTACTCATATCTAAGTTATATAAAGAACTAAAAATTTTTACATCTCCTCAAAAAGATCACATCAAAAAAGAACAACGGGAAGAGTTGACCCTTTGAAAAACAGCCCAAATTGACAATATATATTTAAAATAACTTAAACGTCTAGGACAATTAGAGCAATGCATGTTAAGACAATCTGAAGTTCTCTAATACTCCAAGAATAATGATATCATCAAGAAATCCAATAATAAGAAAGGCTGGAGAGTTAGGTGAGATAAAGGAATTGCTCTGCACTGTTGGCAGAATGTAATAGAGTATAAGGAATATAAAGTTGCTCCGGAAAGGTAAAAATAATTTGGTTCACAGAGGGAGATACAAATCTAGTTTCAATCTTCTGCATCAATTATCCAATTTTCCCAGCACCATGTATTTTTTTGTTGTTCCACTTTTTTTGTTGCTTTTGGTTTGTTTTAACAAATCCATTTGATTTCAAGGATAAAAAGAAAGAAAAGGCTAAGAAACAAAATTATAACAATGGTTCAACCTTGTCAATCAGAGGGCTACATTGGTATTTACATTGCTCAGATATGTATTCCACAAATCATTCACCCTGAGAACAAGGCATCTGCATTTTATTTGTCACAACAATACCAGCACAAAGCTTTCTATTCATTGAAACCAGAAGAATCCGTAGCATTAATATCTTAAATATTTTTATAGCCTTATGCATATATATACACATATATATGCTTTTTCTTTTTGCTTCTCACATTAATGAAGTATTTAAATGAGTCATTTATTTCACTAATATGTTCTCAAATTGCAACCATATATCTATAAAAGCATAAAATCTATCATTTTGTATGGCTGAGTATTACGTCATTGTACTCCAACTTTTCTATCTATTTCTACATTGATGGCCATCTAGGATGTTTTCAACATCTGGCTATTACAATCTGTGCTGACATAAATATGGGTGCACATGTATCACTGTATTATGATGTGTTTACTATTTTGAGAAAGATAACTAGAATGGGAATAGTGAAGTTGAAAGGGA